TTTTAATGAGGTAAAAAAAGAACCCATGAAACCAGACAGGCAAAAAACAAAGGCTATAAAAGGCTATATGTGCATGAAACTATAATATAAGCATTAATTAGAAAACACAAATACAAACCCAATTCCTAAAAAGGTGTGAATTGTCCTGTTCCACCTTGCAGCAGTTACACACTGGTGTTATTATAATAACTGCTGCACAGTCATAGCCCGCCTTACTTTTCTATAGCTTAGTGACATTAAACTGATGCGCAGTAGCTTTAGCTTGCATGTAGCAATATTAGTATTAAGACATTTTAACAACCTCATAATTCAGAGGATCCAGTGATATTTGGGAGAAAAATGTACACAGAACAAAATGTATCAGGTTCTGAACATTTTTATTTTACCGCAGTGTGTGGTAAAACCCAGATAGAGGCAGAAAACCCCAATTATTCTGACCATAGAGAAATCGAGTTTAGACCCGGAGGTTCTAATAAGGGCATAACTCGGACTACAGAATGACGCACGACTACAGTGGTCTATTGATCCAGGTTTGAGAGAGGAATTTTTTGAGCTGTACACCTGCATAGGGCTTTTGTTGCCATATTTCAAGCCACATGTTTTCTATGGGAGATTGGACTGCCGGCATGTCCAGTCCAGTCATTGGCGATGTCATGTTGAAATAACTTGACTTGAAATAAGCATGGATGTCCCTGAAAAAGATGGCATTTAAAAGGCAGCATATGTTGCTTCAGAACTTGTTCAGTGTTAAAGGTCCTTCACAGATGTGCAGGTTTCCTGCTAATACCCCCCCCCATACCATGACAGATGCTGGCTTTTGAACTTTACATTGGTAACAATCTGCACAGTTCTTTACTTCTCTGACTGCAAGAAAACAACAGCCATTATTTTCATAAACAGTCTGATTTCGTAACAGTCTTGACTTGTCAGACCACAGTACATGTTTCCACTGAGCATCAGTCCATTTCAGATGCGCTCAAGCCCAGAGAAGTCGGTAGGGTTTCTGGATGCTGTTAGCGTATGATTTCCTCTGTGCATAGTACAGTGTTAACATGCATTTGCTGGTGCAGTGACAAACTGTATTTATTGACAAGTCTGTCGAAATAATATTCCTGAGCTGATATCCATCACAGAAACCACCAGTTTTTAATGAAGTGCCATCTATGGGATTGAAGGTCATGTGTATTCAATTCTGGTTTTCACCCTTGCCCTTTGCACACAGAGATTTCTCTGGATTCCATGGATCTTCTGATGTTATTATGCACTGAGTGCATATGAAATACTTAAAATCCTCAGTTGCTCACTGAGGAAAGTTGTTCTTAAACTGATTTTTTGCTGATACATTTTTGGCATTTTCTGCCTTTCCTGAATACTGCTTTTATACCCAAGCATGATTGCAGGACCTGTTTAAGATGCTTTCTGAACATTTCAGAATGTTCCTAGTTTTAGTCTTAGGTGACCAAAAATTGATTTACTTTTAAGAATGTGCCCAGTAGTTAATTTGGCCACACTTAACTCAATCTCTCTAATTGTATTGTTTTGATTTTTCAGCCTGATGGTGACTTGCTTCACTGGTAGTGAAGCTCTTTGAACTTCAAATTGAGGTTTAACAGCAGCAGATTGCAAATGCAAATGGCACTTGAAAGCAACTCTAGACCTTTTATGAACCATTCTATTGAATTAGCTCAAACTGTGACCCCACAGTAGAAGACATATGTAAAAAAGCAGTTAAGTATTCAGACTAAATATAATATTTACAAAGTATAGATATTTACAAAGACTATTTTATGATCTATTTAAACCCAAGGCATTAATTGAGTAAGTAATAAGCTAAATATATTAAAAATCATTATTTATACAGTACTTTGTTGGCAGATGTCTGTCCCAAACACTAACCTCTAAATTTTAACTTGTGAAAATAATACTTTTTTTGATTACTTTTAAAGTGAAGTTGAAAGATTTAGATTTATCACGACTTTATTCAAAAAAATGCTGTCCTATGATTTCATGTCACTACTGAAACACAAAGGTTTCAGATTGCAAGCAAATTGGATTTGTTTCTCAAATCAGATCTATTTAGACAGATTGTCCGCACTGTTATTTGCAGTTGATCAGATCGGATTTGTGTATCCAGACATCACCAACATATCTGCATGGCTTGCTGTTGTAACGACATAGGCATCAGTAACTATGTAGCTATGCTGGTGACACGTATTTTAAATGTGAATGCAGGAGAGATGGAGGTGCATCATCTCACCCCCCAAACTCTTCAAAATGCTCTGCTTAAGCAAGTCAGTAGGCTTTAATTGTCATTCCATCTATGTACAAGTATGCAGTGGAGCGAAATTACATTCCTCCAGGACCATGGTGCAACATGGAACAAAATAGACAGTACAGACAAAGTGCAAACATCCAGAAAAGGGTGCAAAACATTAAAGAATGAATCTTTGACACGCTTCTTGAATCCCAGCACTTCTGTTATTCTAGATTTGACATTGTCGTTGTTTGTCGCGTTGCGAGTGACGCTCAACACACTTTGAAATCCAATTTTGAGCAGCCAGAGCTTCCAGACTGAGACGCATCTGTAAAAATCCGATTGGGATCACATTTCAAGGTGCCTTGCTCAAGACAGTACATGACTGCATGACCGCAGCACTGCTGTGTCTGATCCACTCAGACCAGCACAACACTAACTAACACACCACCACCACATCAGTGTTACTGCAGTGCTGAGAACGATCCACCACCCAAATAGTACCTGCTCTGTTTGGGTCCATGGGGGTCCTGACCACTGAAGAACAGGGTAAAAGGGGGCTAACAAAGTATGCAGAGAAACAGATGGACTACAGTCTGTAACTGTAGAACTACAAAGTGACCCTATATAGTAAGTGGAGCTGATAAAATGGACAAGGAGGTGGTCATAATGTTATGCCTGATTGGTGTAAATAGCCACATTATTAATTTGTTTTACATATCCTACGTATATGGCTGAAAGACCTTAGATATAAAATAGAATGATGCCAAATACAGTTGTGCAAATAGGAAAGGAAAATGATGTGTTCTCACATTCCACAGAAAGCAGTCTTTGCGGTATTTTTGAGGCAACATTTCAACACTGCTTCAAGTGTTTGGATGATGCAGTATCGGTCGCACTCATTTAAGCAAGCTTTTTCAAAAGCAGCAAATTAGGAAGAAGAGTGTAGTACTACCATAAAAGAAGGTGAGATTCTTCCTTAGACACTCAACAAGGCTGTTCAGCTCAACGCTGCATTACTGCATTACTCTCCATAAGCATATGAATGGCAAGTAGATGTGTTGATATTCAATAATATGCTATGTCGTATTCAGCTCAAGAGACTTTGAAGTCCTGTTATGGTATTTTAGTCGAACAAGCACAGTCCACAGTAAATTTTCAGTGCTATCTTTTCACACTCAATGTGCTATGTAGAGTTCCAAGGGCCATCAAAGCAAAACCAAAGACATGATGTACATTAAGACTGTCAGAAAACAGGACTCATCAGAAACACATGAAGAGCATCATTCTGGCATGTTTTTGTGGGAACCAAATGTTCTGAAACATCCAGATTGTTATTATGCGTCAGGACTGCACTTCCTCCGTTCCCAAGGAAGTGACTGAATTCTTACAGACGCTAATTTGGAGGGTTTGATCCCAGAATTGAGGTCGGTTAATAAATGCTTTCACTAGTGTTTTCCATTTCCAGTGTTTCTTACACTGAGGAGTCTGAAGTGGAATTGGAAAAAGCCCTCAAGGAAGCACGTGGAGCTGGAACTACTTTGGAATTATGTCTATATTTAAATGGAAATTCCACACATTTTTCCAAATTCCTGCATAATTCAATCCTGTCATTCTGAGTGGTTTGATGTGTGGGGCAATATTGAGAAACGTACCAAGTCAGAATCGCCTCATGCCAAGAATGTAGTTAAAAAAATACATTATAGGCCAAAAGCTTCTCTCAAATCTGTAGGAAGATAATGTCTCTGGCATCAGGCAGACGAAACCATTTCATTTAATAACTTTCTGTGAAGGACCTTTTAGAGACATTAAACGCTTCAGACGTCTGGTTCCTGTCACCACCACTGTGAGCAATTCTGACTCAGTAAGTTTCTCTAGAACAGCACCTTTCACACCAAACCACTCTGAATGATTGTGTAATTCATAATCAGTTCAGAAATTTGGAAAGGAGAATTTCATGAATTTCCAAAAAATAATTTCCAAAAATTCATGAAATAGCCGAAACCGTTCCCAGATAAACTAGTTTCAAATGGAGCTTTTTATCACTTTCGCAGTTGAAATGGTGTATTTAAAGGAGGGAATTATGGCAGAAATGTAATATTCTGCTTTGTACTGTGGTTGTGATTTACCTTCCAATATATTAAAAACAAATGAATGAACCCCTCATGTAACATGTTTGAAGACTGACTTGCATGCTTTTTGACCGAAATGATCTACGTTTGTTGAATCATGAAATGCTTTGATTCATCAAAACACTTAAGGAATGTCTGTGATTGGTCAGAATAATCACAGCACACAAAACAACACTCTGTGATTGGCCAGAGACTAATTTGCATACTGCACACATCTGCGATATCAGTATTGAGAAGACCAATGTTGATATAACAACTGCACAACATGTGGTGCAGCCCTTATTGGGGCCTATTAGAAAAACTTGTTAAGTATTTTAGAAAAAGCCTAGGAAAGTTTATTCTCTAGAATTTCCGTTCCATTTATTATGACTGGAATTACATTTTAAATAGCACTGCAGTGATCTCACTGTGAGACCCATGAGACCTCATTTATGTGAATGGCTTTTCTTTCTTTCTCTAAGACTGAGCTTAAAGTTGTCTAGATCACAGCATAGTAAGAAGTGGAATTGAGGTTAAAAAATGTAGGTGATAGAAAATAACTGTCATGTTTGTTGTCTTGCTTTACCTTGAGGATTCTGCTGAAATGAATTTGTTTGGTGTTTTTTTTTCTGCAGGGGCTTTCTGTATTCCAGTCTATTTGCCCTACATACTGACAGGCAAATGGATGCTGGGTCGAGGGCTCTGTAAACTGTGGCTGGTTATGGACTACCTCCTCTGCACTGCCTCTGTCTTCAACATCGTTCTGATCAGCTACGATCGCTTTCTTTCCGTCACCAGAGCGGTGAGCCACTGGCATCTTGGCATTTTCTTGTGTTCATGTATCTGTTTTCTTGCATGACAATTATTTGACCAATTCAGTAATGGTTTACTGCACTTTATTACTTTAAACAAACAGAAAACAGCCTTTTCTTTCACATTGTATATTATAAGGCTGTATTCCGTTTACATTTGTAGTTCAGTCCCTTTGATCTGGACCAAAACAGAAAGTGATACAGTGGTACATTTTAGCTCTTGTTCGCTTAGTGTTCACACAGATTTGACATCGAATTAAAGATGTAAGCAAAAATAATATGGGCAAAAATTTACCACAGACATTTGGCAACAAAACTGAAATAATATCCAAAGAACTTTCTGAATCATGCTGCTCTCTGGCTTAAGTGAGCATGTGGGTTTTGTGTAGATCTTGTGATATTCTATGCCATCAAAGCCACGAGGGGCCACAGGTTACCATGTATTTTTCCATGACGCTAAGTAGGGTGAAATCAGTGTGCAAACACATGGCCTTGAATGTTTTACTGCTTTTATAAAACGTCATAAACTTCAGACATCTGGTTCCTGTCATCATCACTGTGAATGATTCTGACTTGTTAAGTTTCTCTAGAACAGCACGTTTCACATCAAACACTCTGAATGACTGTTTACATCATAACCAGCCAGTTATGTGGAATTTTTTGAAAAATTGTTTGTAGCGTTTGTCCCAAATAATGCACGTAAGCGTGTTTTTTGGGTTGTTTTGGCTACTGCGCTTGTGCAGTTCTCCACAACCAAGCCCATGTAGAGGGGGATTTTTCCTACTTGCGGCTTAGCCAGCGAGCTGATTGGCTCTTTTTAGTGAAGGGCGGGACTTTCTCCATAAACAGATGCCATGTTGAGTGCAACAAACGTTCCCATTCTTTTTTCCAACCAGTGAGTAGTCTCCTCCTTTATAATGTCTCTGATACCCTGTCACTTTAGCATGCTGTTCACTGCAGCAAGGTCACAGTAAAGCAAGGTGGAGCTCCAAAACACAGCATTTGTTTATGGTTCCATTAACTGAGATTAAACTTAACATAAAGTAAGGAGAATGGAGGGAGCTGTGGGGATAAAGCAGTAAGCAGAAAGGCAGTTTTCCTTGCAGATTTTTTTTCATTCACTTACTCACAAACTCATGCGCTCTCTCTGTCAGCAGTAACTTAACAGGAAAAAATGGGGTACCTTCGCACTTCTTAAAGGCACAAGACTCCATTTTCCCCTCAATCACAACAATATTTTACCACTGTTAACAATAATTTGGTTCACTCTCTTCTGCTTGTATTGACCACTACTCAAATGCTGTGCTGCTGACTGGATGTGAATTATGCGCCCAGAAACACAGTCAACATTTATGTTTATGTAGAATTTGTAGCCCCCTAAAATCAGTATAGGATACAAATGTGATATGATTTCTCGCACCGGTCAATATAAAAAAAACATCTCTCACATTGCTGAATTTAGCTAACTGACTAAAGTTCACCAATATCACAGTCAATAATGTTTAATTAATGGAGGAAAAAAATCTTAATTGTGCTTAAATATGATTAAAAGTGCAGCCCTTCTGTGTTGGTATGCTGGACATCAAACACAGGGCACCACCAGCTCTGTGGCCTCTGAACATTATGCATTGGCTGTTCCACTCAGAGTGATTAACAGAGGCACTTATCACATTAATCATGCAATCTGCATTTAGAGAAGAGTTGAGGGGCTTTGTGAATTTGGCCCGTATTCAACAAGTGACACCGACAGCTGTAATCAGTGGCATCCAGTCAGCAGCCGTGCATGTCAACATCAGGAGCTCATATTTACCATACCTCTCACACAGTGGGTGCTGATATGGCCTCAGCTGTTTTGAGTGCACGTCCTGTTTTATGCATTTATAAGAATAGTGAGGACAGATATATGATTAATAAACATCAGCCGCTCTTTCTCTGCCCACACATTGTGTTAAACATGCGCAGCATGTTAAACATACTGCTCTCTCACTACAATACCCAGCATGCACAACCACTGAAATCGAGGCTAATACATTTAGGTATGATATTTGGCTTCCTAGCAGTATCATTAGCTATGTGGCTTCTTTCTGCTTTAGCCAGCTAGCAGGAAAAAAACAGCCCACCCCAAAAATCCACCCTAAAACAGCCTCGAAAGTTGCTCCCACCTTCAAGAAACATCATCAGAAGGGGCTTTTCTTAGTCATTTAACTGGAAAATCTTACTCTAGTGGCTACTACTGCACCAGTGTAGGTGAGTGGGCATGTTTACAACATATGTAGTAATGGTTACATTTTTAATTTTGGCTAGAGTGCCCCTTAAAATGAGAATAAAGTGTAATACCCAGTCCTGCTTGTGACACCATCCATGCTACTGCAAGGACAACAGTATTGGGACACACCTCTTAATCATTGAATTCAGGTGTTTCATTTAGTCCCATTGGCACAGGTGCATAAAACCAAGCACCTAGCCATGCAGTCTGCCTTTACAGACATTTGTGAAAGAATGGTTAATTCTAAAGAGCTCACTGAATTTGAGTGTGGCTCTGTAATAGGATGCCACCGTTTGTGAAGTTTCCTCCCTCCTAGATGTTCCACGATCAACTGTGAGTGGTATTATTGAAAAGTGGAAGCATTTAGGAACCACAGCAACTCAGCCACAGCAAGTCAAGAAGAGTCAGACCATGTAAAATTACGGAGCGGGTCGCCGAGCGCTGAGGCGCATAGTGCATAAAAGTCACCAACACTCTGCTGACTCAATACCTGCAGAGTTCCAAACCTCCTCTGTTTTATTATATTTGTTCAGTGATGCTGTTCTTATATCACTGAAACTGTAAAGGATGTTCTCAGGCTCAGCTGCTCTCACTTCAGAAATGTGAAAGCACTACTTACCAGTAGCAGATTCAAACTGCATTGAACGTACCTGGTATCTTCCTGAGTTCTTGGAAATGAAGGTTATATAAGCGGGAGTGCCTGTTTGATATTGTGAGATCTTTTTTCAAAGTGTCACATGCCTGCATCCTCCCACTACCAGGAAGAGCATTCTATGTTTCAGAGCGTAAATGGACTGAATGTTATACAACATAAAGGTGATTTCAGGTGAAATAGAAAATAATGAAAGCAGTTTTATAATTGTACATTTGTCTAATAAAGGTGTACAGTAGTTGTAACCATGAACACTTATAGTTATGTAAATGTAAATTCAAAGAAAATATTTATAAATTCTTAAGCATATTTAATCAAGCAATTCCCATCCAGACTAGTGGTAAACAATGGGGGAAAAATGATAAAAATGCCTGTTCAGTTAAGTGCAAATGATAATTGTTTAATTGTCAGGCAGTAACAAACCTCCTCGATGTAATTTTCATTCACTGATTACCTTCACTTTCTAAACACAGCTGAACACGAATTTATGCATTTATAATGTTTACTTTCAGCCATCCAGTTTTGCAAAATTGACACATCGAGCGTAGAGACAGAAGATTATGACTGATTAGTGAAGTTTATTACAGTGTACACCTGGCATCTTTGTATTAAATTCTCCTTTTTTCTGAGAATCTGTATCCAGTCAGCCATATTTTCTTATCAAATAGTTTCCAGGTAAATACCTCGAGCCTGGTGAACTATACATGGAAGCGTTTTGATTTCAGGAGTAGTGTCAGTTTACAAAACACTGAACTCGTGTATGGGAGGAACAGGAGGAAGCCAAAGGAAAGAGTAAGGAAGTAAGGCTGGTTGTCAGCTGAGGAGAGTTTTTTTTTTCTTATGCGTGAAAGGAAAATCACGAGGATAGGAAGCGAAAAGAGCGGAGGAGTATGAGGGAAGGTCTTCACTGGGCTCCCTCGGTTTGAAGAAATAATATTTTCTCCGAAGTGTGAAAGTGGGTGTCCGGCTAGATTCTTTTCAGTTTTGTTTTGACAGTATTACATGAGATTATCAAAACATCATGCCCAGATAGCCGGCGTACACACCCACGAGAAATATTTCATACAGCATATGATATGACACAGCCATGGACTAACCTTTACTGAGTATGAAATAGATATAGTTACAATCAAAATTGTACATTTGCTTGAAATTGATTGTTCATTATAATTTAAGCTTTAAAATGTATGCATTTTATTAATCACTTGTTAAAATGATCTGATATAATTGTTCGTGTATGTATGTAACAGTAATTAAATTGCAATCACAATTATACATTTGAAATGGGTGGAAGGGGATTTCACTGTGAAAGCCTGAAATGTGTATAATATGATGTTACTAAGAGTAAATATTAAATCAACAGGTTAACTAATAAGTGACCTACTTAGCAGTTTAGAGATCTGAAAACGGCAAAGTACACCCAGCAAAGCAGAAACAAACAAGTGGATCTTAAAGATAAATGTTCTTTAAAGCTGTAAGTGATAAATGTATCTTAAATATTGAGTTTTATTTAAGATATTTTCTCTTTCTCATTTTCAGGAAAAAACACTGTGTCCACTCACTGTCCACTCTATTAGACACTCCTACCTTGTCAGTCCACCTTGTAGATGTAAAGTCAGAGACAATAGCTCATCTGCTGCTGCACAGTTTTGTTGGTCATCCTCTAGTCCTTCATCAGTGGTCACAGGACGCTGCCCACAGGACGCTGTTGGCTGGATATTTTTGGTTGGTGGACTGTTCTCAGTCCAGCAGTGACACTGAGGTATTTAAAAACTCCAGCAGCACTGCTGTGTCTGATCCACTCAGACCAGCGCAACACACACTAACACACCACCACCACATCAGTGTTACTGCAGTGCTGAGAATGATCCACCACCCAAATAATACCTGCTCTGTGAGGGTCCATGGGAGTCCTGACCACTGAAGAACAGGGTAAAAGGGGGCTAACAAAGTATGCAGAGAAACAGATGGACTACAGTCTGTAATATATATATATATGCACACACTAGACTCTAAATATATACACAATATACACATTAGTATAGCTAATATAAGTTAGAAGCTATGATATA